TTCTTCCGTCAAGTTAAGTGTTGGAATTGGATTTCTTGAATCAAGACAAGTAAGGTTGTTCTTTAAGACTTTGCAGAGAATTCTAAAAAGGGATTTTGTTCTTTAAAAGTTCAGAAATAAGCACATAAAATAAGAATATATAATGCTCTTATGCATATAGTTAAGTGGTTAGAATGCAATTAACCATTTAGATGTATAATAGAACTAAAGCATTTAAAAAAGAATGAAATTAGGAATAGAAAAAGACAATTATGGACTTAAAGTGTCAAGGATCTGATTAATTTCTATGGATATAACCGAAATATTATACCTAATTATTCTGTCTCTACGATGGCTGTGCTCTATGACTCACTTAAGTTTCTGTAATGCAGATACGAATATATTAAATGTAATGTTGTAAAAAGAAAACTAGGGAGTCACACATCTCTCTTTTTTTTTTTACTCTGTTTTTTTTCACAGATTCTATTTTTTTTTTTTTTAGAATCTCTTTTTTTTGTATATAACGACATAAAAAAAATTCTTCAAAACAAACTAAATGAATTACCACTTTATGTAACTAGTGCAAATTTTATGTAAAAAAATAAATGTAAATAGTTAATCATAAAGATAGTAGATTTACTGGAGCGTAAGCTCTGATACCAACTAAGGAGAACTCGGGATCAACAACGGAATTCAAAACCCCACGTATATATCAGCAATTAAAAACTTAAAACCATAAGCAAACACTCCTTACTTGATCCACACTTAAAAAGGGATTGAAAACCAAGGTAACTGGGAAGAAATAAAAAACTAGAATTGAAAAGACACTACGAGACTTACCTCAATAAGTGATCCCAATTTCTAACACAATAAGTCGGTTAAAAACCCACTTGCTCACTCTTGCAAGCTTGAAAACTTAAAAAAATATTTGAAAACTATAAAATAGAATGAAAAACTAGCAAAAATTAAGAAAACTATAACTAAAATAGGATAAATATGACTTTCCTATGAGAAAAATTTTTTAAATAAGAAATATTTTAATTAATTGTGACTGATTTAGGAGAAAAGATTTTGTCAAGATATTTTCTTCTTTTTCAAATATCTTTCTCTTTCACGAGATTTGACGTTTAAGGAGTTTTTCTTTTTTTAAAATAACTTGTAATTTAGAAGCAATTTTCCCTCTTTGCTGATCTTTAATTGTAAAGATTTCCCACATGATTAGAAAATAAAATTTCATAGAAATTTTTCTTTTTCATATCTTACAGAATTTTTCTATTTTCTTGCTTATTTCCCTCTTGGCCTTGGGTGAATAGTAAATATTATTATACTTTTGGCTTAATGGTCATGTTGTCTTCTTTTCTTGGGATTCTTTAATGGGTCCAAACCCATCTTCCTCATTGATCCACGCTTGGATAAAAGGTTGGAAAACTTATTGTAATCTTTTAGCTCTCCCCCTTATAATGGGCCCACTTGGCATTGAGATATCATTTCTACCAATTTAATCCATGTCCATGCTCACATCAAATATTTCTTAGGAATTGAAGTTGTTAGGTTCAATAAAAAGATTTTCATCTCTCAAAAAAAGTATATCTTAGATTTATTAAAAGATATTGGTATGATGGAGTACAAACCAACAGTATCATCTATTGAGAGCAACCACAAACTAAAAGCAGGTAATGGTACATCAGTTGACTTGGAAAGATATTAGAGACTAGTTAGACGACTTATTTATCTCTCACATACTAGATCTGATATAGCATATACAGATAGTCTGGTGAGCAAGTGCATACATGATTCTCGTGAGACTCATTTACATGTTTCTTCTACATATTATGATATTTGAAGTTTGTACCAGGAAAATGTCTACTTTTTTCTAAGTATGGTTCCTTTAAAATATAAGTATTTACAGATGCCGATTGAAGTGAGTTTTTAGATGATAGAAGATCAATTACAAGTTACTGCACACTTGTAGAAGATAATTTGGTTACATGGAAAAATAAGAAGTAAAGTGTGGTTGTCCGCTCCAATGCTGAGGCAAAATGTAGAGCAATGACCCAAGCAGTATGTGAATCACTATGGTTGTAAAAGTTAATGAAGGAATTAAAACTGATTAAAGAGAAGAGACTATCCCTGTTTTGTATCAATAAAACAACCATTAATATTGCTTATAATCTAATTCAACATGACGGAACAAAACACATTGAGATTAATCGACATTTTATAAAAGAAAAAGTAGTTAGTGCTCTCTATGCTCATATCATGTATTTTTTAGTGACCATGTGACTGATATTTTCACTAAAGGATTATGTAATAAATCTTTTCAAAACCTAGTTTGCAAGTTGGACATGTGTGATATCTTTGAGTCAACTTAAGAGACAGTGTTGATAAGGATTTCATGCTAAGTAGAATATTATAATAAATGAGATATTTTATTAGTTTGAGTTCTAATAGTAAAGTTGTATCTTATAATTAGAATTCATCTTAAATAAGAATAACTACTTTATATATATTTCCTAATTATAAACACAAAACATAAGAAATAAAATTAATAGTTTATTTTTTTCCAAAAATTTTCAATTTATTATGATATAATTAGGATTTTATGTGAATATTTATTTTATATAATTAAAATTCTAATATAATAAAAATTTTCTTATTAATAAGATAGAAATTTTATAAATATTCTAAATATAACAATATAAATAGTGAGAAATAAAATTTATATTTTTTAAAAAAAAATTTTGGCAATAAAGCAATTTAGTGATTGTGTAAAGATCATGATATTTTTCTATAGCTCTGATACCGTTTGAAGAATATTTTTTATATTTATTTTATTATTAAATATTACAGTTTTATACATACAAATTTTCTAGAAAAGTAAATAAAATAAATAATAAATTATAATTAATTACAAATGATGTAATTTACTCTTATATCCTTTAACCTAATTCATCTTTTCTTTAACAATTGTTATGGAAGAAGAGGGATTAGATTTCCTGCACTTGTCATCCCTGATGCTCTGCCACACCTAAACCTCTCTTGCTGCAGTGCGTGCAATCGTCCATCTCAGTCCAAGGAAAACTAGGGTGAGACATTAGAGGCAAAGGGAGAAGGGGTGCCAAAAAAAGATGATTGCGTCATAGCTGGCCTCCTGCGCAAGTAGCAAGTAGCTAGAATTTTTCTCCTCTATGGATTGTTGATGGTGAGAAATCTCCTTTTTGTCGCCACTCAGATGAAAAAAACAAAAAAACAAAACAAAACCGTGGGGAAGTGTGTTAAGCTTTCGGATACACTTCCAAGGTATATCACGTTGGAGTTGGTTAGAATAAGCAAAATGTATATAGAAAGATCTTGCCGATAAGCCCCTAATGTCCAGGTTCCAAACACTCTTGTTGGCCCCATCAAACTGAGCATTCATGCAGGAAAGGTGCAGGAGGATGACATATTCATCAACCTCCCAATTATTCATATTTCTCACAAGGTCAACAGTGGACATCCCTTGACTAGAAGAAAAGGAGAACAAATAACGGTGTGAAGCATATGTTCTTCTAGCTAGAGAGAAAACATTAGGGACACAATAAGATAGGATCCCCTCAATAAACTAAAGTGGTAATCATGATGAAGTGTGGTAAATCTCATTAATATTAGTAGTAGATGTATTGCGTACCATGTGTTACAAGTATCAATATTAACATACCCCTCAACTTCCCCTCTACCCACCATTTCTCTTTCTTTGGAAGTATTCTGCTTTTAATATGTGAATTATACTGCAATGTCGTGTTACACAAACACATGAAGTATCTACATGCGTTTTCTATCCTTTGTTACAAGTATTAATATTAGAAATCCTTGAAGGTCTCAAATGTGATTCCTTGTATTTGGTTATACCTTCAGGCGGAATCCATGGTAGCTGAGTGGAAGGAGTTCCTTTGGGATGTCCCAGAAGAGCGAATTGCTTTATGGGGCCACTGCCAGACATTATTCATTAGATATTCCTTCCCTGCATTACAGGTATGTTTGTGTTGCACATGCCACAATTGTCAACCAAAATCATGCTTTGGTGAACCTGTTGGTTATGTTTTGAGATGATCTTGTTCTATTTTGCCATGCAGGCTGGTCTGTTCTTCCTTAAGCATGCAGACACTGGTGAGAAAGACCTTCCCGCAAGAGAGCTTCATGAGTTATTGCTGCTTTCTCTTCAGTGGTTAAGCGGGATGATAACCCAGTCTAATCCGTATGTCATTTATCTAAAATTAAATAATTCTGATTTCCATCTGATTATTATGTGTTCTAATTTGTATCTTGATTTTACCAGGGTTTATCCCTTGCATCTTCTAAGAGAAATTGAGACTAGAGTGTGGCTCTTGGCTGTAGAATCAGAGGCTCAGCTGAAAAGTGAAGGAGACTTCACTTCAAATTGTTTCAGCAAGGACACTGGGAATGGAAATAGCATAAACATTATTGACCGGGCTGCAAATATAATAACTAAAATGGATAATCATATTACTACAGTGAGGAGCAAAACTTTAGAGAAACATGATGGTAGAGACATTAGCCAGGTGCATCACAGGAACCAAATATTTGACACCAGCTCTTCAACCATAGCTGGAGGTAGTACAAAGACAAAACGGAGGGCAAAAGGCTATGTGCCACCAAGAAGGGCGGTAATGGACTTCATGGAAAAGAGCATTGATTCTGAAGATAGTTTGAGTTCTCTTAACTTTAAAAATGACTTGCAGTTCCACGATGAAAGTGTAAAATTAGAAATATCATTCTCAAAGTGGGAGGAGAAAATTGATCCTGCAGAGTTGGAAAGGGCTGTTCTTTCCTTACTGGAGTTTGGACAAGTAACAGCTGCCAAGCAACTCCAACATAAGCTATCTCCAGGACCTGTAACTCCTGAGCTTTTGCTTGCAGATGCTGCTTTAAAGCTAGCAGCAATGTCCACTCCTAGCAGGAAATTACTATTGTCGATGCTTGATGAAGAGTTCGTTCTGTCTTTAAGTCGTACAGATACAGACTGTTGACATCTGGTCATCATTGC